AGCTCTTCATCTCACGAACAACATACTAAAATTTGCACCAATTCCGTCGATGTTTAATCTTCGAATCGGACCGTAAAGATTCCCTTTTTCTTCTTCTCCTTCGCTCACTTTAGGTGCTCTCTCTCGGTGAGCACTCGCTGCTTTTCTCTCTCCTTGGGCTCTCTTGGGCACACCCCCAAAGCTTCCCATCTTTTTCTCTTTTGTTTTGTTGCTCTTTTTGACTTTTTGACTTATTTTTGACTTTAAGTTTTAGCTGGGCCCCACATAAGCGGACCCAGCCAAGACGAAGTCAGGCTAGGCTATGTCGCTCAAAAGGTAAAGCCGCGCGTGATGAAACGAAGGCTAGACTATTAGATAATAGGGTTAATACCACGAAAAACCCTAAACTGGTACACTTATGATAATTTTACCCCAAATTATTTTTTTGATCATTAAAAACCTCAAACTGGTACACTTGTGACAAATCTACCCTGAACTATTTTTTTGACCACCAAAAACCCCAAACTAGTATACGCGTGACAATTTTACCCCGAACTAATTTTTTAATATTATTTTTTATTTTTCGAATTTTTTTATTTTTTCTTAACTTTATTTTTTCCTTTCTTTTCCACCTCTGGCCGGTCGCCGGACTGGCGACCGGCCAGAGGCGGAAGTCGGCGAGGTCGGCCTCGCCACCGCAACGCGAGGCCGAGCCTCGCCGGATCTCGGCGAGGCTCGGCCCGCCGTTGCGGCGAGGTCGGCCTTGCCGGCATTGGGCGAGGTCGGCCTCGCCCCGCAACGGCGAGGTCGAGCCTCGCCGGATCCGGCGAGGGCTCGGCCCCGCCGTTGCGAGGCGAGGTCGGCCTCGCCGGCGTTGGGCGAGCAGTCGGCCTCGCCCGCAACCGGAAGGTCGAGCCTCGCCGGATCCGGCGAGGGCTCGGCCCCGCCTGCGTGGGCAAGGCCGACCTCGTCCAACGCCGGCGAGGCCGACCTCGCCTAACGCCGGCGAGGGTGGCCCGCCGGCCGCCGGCGAGGCTCGACCTCGCCGGCGTTGGGCGAGGCCGACCTCGCCGTTGCCGTTGCGGAGGCAAAGCCGACCTCGCCCAACGTCGGCGAGGCCGACCTCGCCAGCGGCCGACGAGGTCGAGCCTCGCCAGCGGCCGGTGGGGCCGACCTCGCGCGGCGACCGGCCAGAGGTGGAAAAGAAAGGAAAAAATAAAGTTAAGAAAAATAAAAAAATTAATAAAAAATTCGAAAAATAAAAAATAATATTAAAAAATTAGTTCGGGGTAAAATTGTCACGTGTATACCATTTTGGGGTTTTTGGTGGTCAAAAAAATAGTTCAAGGTAGATTTGTCACAAGTGTACCAGTTTTGGATTTTTTATGGTCAAAAAAATAGTTTGGGGTAAAATTGTCACAAGTGTACCAATTTAGGGTTTTTCGTGGTATTAACCCTAGATAATAAGACAATCTAACATATATTCTTAGGCCAAATTTAGTCCTAAACCTTATGACTGTTTATCAATTTAATTTTAAACTTTTCAATTGTGTCAATTTAATCTAACGATTTGCCAATTTAGTTTTTCCCGTGAAATTTAGTCTATTCGGGGCTGACCGTCTTATGTAGTATGGCCAGCATTGTGGATTATTCTTTAAAATTTTATTACTTTTTCTTTTGTTTTTTCTTTTCCTTTTCTCTTCCTCTTTTTTTTTTCCAACACTTGGCCAGTGAGGGTTGGCGACCCTCGCTTAGTCACAAGCGAGGCTATGCCCTTGCTTGGATCTGGCGAGGGCTGCGACACCCTCACCTAGACCAAGAGTTGGAAGAAAAAGAGGAAAAGAGAAAAAGAAAGGAAGAAAAAATAAAATAAAAAAATAAAAAATTGCAAAAGTTGTCCAATCAATGTCGGCTATGTCACGTAAGATGACTGATGTTGACTAGATCATCGCGTCAGCGTTTTTCGATCGAAATTGACCAGAATGACTACATTGGCAAATCGTAAGATTTAGAACTAAATTAGCAAATTGGCAAAATATTTGGAACTAAATTGGCACAATTATAAATTTTGGGACTAAATTGGCAAATCGTCAAAAGATTTAGGACTGAATTGGCCAAATTGAAAGATTTAAAACTGAATTTGCATAAGTACAATAAATTTAGGACTTTTTTGACAGCTTTCATATAAAAAAAAAGCTTAATTTATGTTAACGGTGAACCGACCAGATAGATTTAAACTCCTTAATCCACCATGAACAAAAGCACAAGTAGAGAGATACACTAGATCTACATAGAGGAAATAATTGAAGCGAGATTTAAATTATACTTCTCGAGGAAAAGAGGAAAACTTTTGGGTTATCTAAGAGTAGAGAACATGCCTTGGAAGGAGAATCTCGAAAGGAGTTGACAGTATTACTCACAAAGACACGTTCGCCTTTGAGCCAATTATTGCCAAACAACGTGGAAATGTCAAATATGGTTCGCTTACTAAGGTGAATCGCAATCCATTGCATCTTTTAATATATCAATCTACCCATGCAATAACTAAGTCTCGCACACATGAGAGAGTCTGACCTAAAAACTCGAACAAATAAGTGAAGGGAAATTATATAAACATAAGGCCCGTTAAAATCTCGTAAACAAAAGACGTGGGATCTTTTTAATGGAATTCATCGACTATTTGCATTTTATGGATACAAGATGAAAATTATTCTTTAAAAGTTCCAGGAAATGACAAAGAAGCATCAGAGAAAAATCCAGCAAAATTGCATCGTCACTTGGGAGCAAAACCATCAGGGGAAAGACTTCCCCCTCCCGGCCCGATAAGAGCATAATCGCAACCATCAATGTCGGTTGTCCTCTCGCAAGTCCCAAATCTTGGATCATCCTTACATTCGCAGACCACGATGATTTTTATGGTATCACCGCAAGTTGGATACAGTAACGAGGGCCACTTTGGTATTTGACTGAAACCTGAAAATAAATTAGAAAATATTTTTCGCTGTTTAGTAAGGAAAATTTAATTTCCGGGAAAAATTACCAAAAAAATTAAAATTTTTAATTATTTTTTTGATTTTATATTTCTTTTCTTTTTTTCCTCCTTTTTCTTTTTTCTTTTTTTTTCTTTTTTCTTCTTCCTTGGCTAGTGACCAGCCATAGACGAGGAGTGAGCTCACCCGATTCCAGTGAACTCGAGCCTCGCTAGATCGCTCGAGCCCCGCCAGATTCTGAGAGGCTCGATCCTCAACTTTGGCTGGTCGCTGGCTGTCCTGATGGCCGTCCACTGGCCAAGGAAGAAGGAAAAAGAAAAAGAAAGAAAAGAAAAAAAAGGAAAGGAAAGAAAAAGAGAAAAATAATTAAAAATTCGAATTTTAAAAAATAATTAAATATTCAATTTTTTAAAAATATTTTTATAAGAACGAACATTTCATTAATCTAAGACGCAAGCCCAAATGCCTAGGACTCGCTCACGGCCTTTGGGGACCAAAGCTCGAACTTCACGGACTCAAGCACAGCCTTTATGAACTCGGGCTCGAGTGCTGGGGAATTGAGCATGGGCACCAGGGGCTCGGGCCCAGCCTCGATGGACCTGGGCGTAGGCACTGGGGACCCAGCTTGGTCGTCGAAGACCTAATCCTGAACGTTGGGACACATGAACCAATGTTAAGGTTTTCGTGCACAAGTGTAGAGTCTCAGGTTTAAGAACCGATATTTAGTTACGTTTTGGAAAATGTTTTCCGACTTTTCAAAGAGGAAATCATTTTCCTGAATTTATGTATAGGTTTTTTGTTGACTACGAAAATATTTTTCTATTGACTCATTTTTTTAAACGAACCAAACACCGAAAATATTTTTCGCGAAATAAACGAAGCCTAAAGCACCTCTAAACAAAATTGAGTTAAACGGGAAGGGTTCCTTAAATAATAAGGGATCGTCATCAATCCATGGAGAATAGTCGGTGCTTAGAAACTTCCAGGCACGCAGTTGATGTAAAATTTAACAAAAAAAAGGAGCGACAATATGTAACGTATACTATGAATTTTCCCTTTTTTTTTTTTACGGTAAATGCCTCAATATTTCGGAAAGCTCAATATGAGGCTTCTGGGCCATGTCGCCCAATTTCTGATGATGTGGATTATCTAACTAGATGAAAGTGAGGGCGAGGAAAGTTAAGTTATTCTTCTTTCCCGACAAAAAAAATAATATTTTTTCTCCTTTTTTCCCCGTTCTTTTCTTTCATTTTTCTCCTCCTCCTTCCTCATTCGGGTGCCTGATCGAGCTGCCGAACTGTTGACATGGACCGAAAAACTACATCGACTTCTTGATATCAATGACATTTTATCGACATTGAAACAGCTTCATTTTTCATTTTTATACCACCTAAAAGAAATTGAGTCTTTGACGTTCATTTTTCTTTTTAAGCGTCTACAATGCACTAGATGCCCTTTTGTTGAGACACTCATAGCCACTGCCATTTTTCAGTTCATATATGGATACGTTTTATCCAAAAAAAAGAAAAGCAAAATGCTTCACGGTTTAATAGTCGATTTTGACCACTTGCTTTGTGATTTTCTTTTGCATAATACTTCGAACTTGCATCTTGTGCTCCGACCCAATCGAGTATAATCGCGTAGATACAAGAAATATGCGAAAATGCAGACGAAGTAACTGCTTACAAGGATCTAAACTGACAAGGAAAATGAAATGAGAAGGGTTGCACAAAGCATCAAAATTTGTTCAACCGACAATCCTTAGTCGCTGGAGAGAACTCATTTCCTTTGCAAGAAATATAACGTCCTTTCTGCCAACAAAGGTTGGCACGTGAAAAAAGTTAAACCTATGGGAAATTTAGTTCGCAGGAAAGAAGCACGCTCGGTTAATCAAAATAGTAGCTGAAGCCTTTCAGCAGACCTCTTCGAAAGCAACATTGAAGGAAATCCTTTCCTTGGCAGATAATTCTGCAAAAGCCACTGTTAGAGCTGCATGAATACAAAATGAAAAGCTACATCTTCGTAATGACTTTTAAGAAGTGAAGGAAATTATATCAATAACTCTCATTAATGGGACCTGCCTTGTAGAACCCAACAATTGCCATAGAAAATAAAATAAGGTTGAAGAATAGCCTGAGCATCAGGACGGTCCCATATCAGTGTCTTCCACTTTTCCTCATCTTCCAATTCTATACACGGAAGGTCCTCGATGTCGGGTAATCGAAGTTGCAAAGGAATCCTATTTAGTCTAGGGCATTTGAACACATGTATTAATTTCATGGAATAGCAAGTTATTGGGACTTCACACATGCTCTTCAGCTGGGGTAGATGGAATAGAATCAAGCGCTTCAGCTTTGGGAGAGAAATTGAAGAGTGGAACGATGAAGGGGTGTTGTTTATAGGAGTCATTATGCTTCCTTCTTGGCCTTGTCCCGCTCCGCTTATCATCTCCACCATTCCTTTGCAGAAAGTGACACAGATACTTTGAAGATTTCGAAGATGGATCAACCACTCATGTGGAAACAGCTTTCTCATGTTATTGTAACCATGTACCGCAAGCAATTTGAGAGAAATCTCTCCAACTAGCATGTATGGGGGAGGACCTCCCATTATCTCCTCACAACAATAGGCCGTGATATCTCTCAGAATAGGGAAATGGGGCAGCCACTCGGATTCCACCACTCTCTTCATTTTATCACAATGTCGAACTTCTATATCTGTTAGACTAGGGAAGGCCAGGGACGAATGTGGAGGTAATGATGTAACTGCTGCTATTATCCCTACCATTTCCTCACAATTACGTATTTCAATTAATTGTAGATGCGGAAGGTAGAATTTAGACCCATGCCCAAATAGATACTTTAATTTCGGACATTGATATATTTTCACAACCCCAAGGCTTCGGAAGAGGGGAGGGGCACGAGTTGGGCTAGGGGAGTCATGGATGTCGATTATTTCTTCATCTTGTCCTCGACGCAGAACCCTCAAGTTTTTCCATTCTTCTATTTTTAGCTCCTCAAGGTTTTCAAGCGGACCCATGTCAAACAAATTTGTTGTACCATCGCATTTTCTCCATGTCAGTGTTTGCACATCTTGGGGAATCAAAAGGCAAATGCCACTACATTGCCTTCCCACGCTCACAATAGCATGACTCCACTTATAAATGTGGACAATACACTCCAAATTCCCAAATCGAGCATCATCATATACTTCCACATAAAACTTTGATATTTCTTTATCCACGTTGAGCATGTAATAGCGATGATTACTTTGCTTAATAAACTTCACACACTTGTTGAAATCATCCACATCTTCAAAGTAGCATTTAAGTGTCTCCAATGCCCTCAATCTTGCAATGTCTTCTGTATTTACTACCTGAACTTTAAGATATTGTAAGTTTAGCATAGTCCCCAGTGTTCCTTTGGCTAATCTCTTTGTACGTGTATTAGTTAGGTCAAGGTATCTCAAGTTCACCAACATTTCCAGACCCTCGAGCGCTTCAAGACAATGACACCCATAAATGTCCAACTTTCTAAAAAATCTGAGCTTCCCTAAATAAGGAATACGGCGCAATTTCCAATAATCTCTGAGCAATAGTGCTATCAAGTTTACTAAGTTTGAGATGGAATTTGGAAGTTCTGTTAGTGGACATTCACTCGGGTTTAGAACCTTTAGCCCCCATAATTGTTTGAAGAAAGAATCGGGAATGACCACATCCGTCAACATGCTTCTATTCAATAGAAAAGTTGATAGCTTAGGACAATTTGGTGACATGTTCAATGGAAATTTTCTAATTTGATTCTCTATTACAAAAACTTTCTCCAAAGCATCCGTCCAATATTCCTTTGGTACTATCCTTGTCAACCCATTTCGTGCTTTTACAATCGAAGTCGCGCTCATGATGTGCAATGCCATGTCTCTAATCAAATTGTGCATCTTCATTTCGCTCCCATTATCTTCCAATAGGCAAACATTTCCCAGTTTGTTAAGTATGGTGAGGCCTCTATTATATTGTTTCTCCCTCGTATTCAATCCACCAATCAATTCTTAGTCAATAAAGAATTCTATCAACTCGAACTTATCAATCAAATTATCTTCTAGATAAAACGCACAAGATAAGAAATACTGTTGAACTTCATGATTACCAAGGTGATTGTAACTAAATTTTAAAGTCATTAAGACCTTGTTTTCCATATCTATTTCTCCCATATTTGATTCTTTCAATTTCACCAAGCAATCCTTCCATTCAAACACATCAGTCACTCCTCGCATGCTTGTTACCATCATGATGACTCCAAGCGACAAGCCTGCACAATCTTCAACAATGGACTTGGCAACTACTTCAGTTTCCAAATTAAGTGCCACTTCGGATCCAAGCTTCTCCATAAATAAACTCTTGGCTTCTTCTTGAGAGAGAGGTTCAATTTTTATCTTCTCTTGACAATGCATATGGCAACATACATCAAAGGATCGAGTAGTTAAGACCAACTTAAATTCATTTGCTCTAACAGGGATTCCCACCTCTTCAAGATCAAAACGTTCCCACACATCATCGAGGATCATTATTGACTTCCCTCTTTTGGTTAAACAATCGGACAAGATTGTTGCTCGTTTCCTCACATCCTTTTCTCGTGGAATGCTTCAACTTAATGCCTCCCAAATGTCGTCCTGCAACTTTTGTGTGTTAAAATCTTGGGACACAGTGATCTACAACACATTGCCATAGTTTGCTTTCTCAAGGAGTCTATTACGTATGTGCATCATAATAGTCGTTTTACCAATACCCCCCATTCCATAAATGCCTAGTCGGGATACTTGATTCCCTACTAGGTACTCTAAAACTTTTGTAATATTTCTCTGAAATGCCTCTCCCACCATCTTTCCTTCTAACAATTTACCAACTTTGGTCTCTCTCGCCTCAAATAGTCCATTTGGGAAATTGCCATGTCTCATAAGGTCATATGCTTCTCGCTTCAGTATATCCACCTACAGTTGTGGTGACAAACTATCCTCACTTGCTACTTCAGAACAAGGGAAATCATTTCTAAGATTCTCTACATCCGCCAACCAATTCGTAACTTCCATTTTCATCTTCTTTAAGAATAGCGACTCGCCATAATTTAACTCGTCCTTTATGTCATATTCTCTGCTATAGAGTCGTTTGAATTCTTTTCAAAGCTTCATTCTCTTCAAAGTTGTTGCCAGTGTTTGGACGATTCGTCATTGGCATACTTTTGTTCACTCTAATTATGCAATTCAAAAATTGCATTTGTTAGAGTCTCATGATAGCATTTTTGCTGCCCCTATTAATATAACATGGTGATACATAGGGATTAATTTAGGTAAATAACTATATACCTGATAATGACAATGGGACTATCAGACCTGTTCCACAAGGTGGAATCTGAGAAGGTGGAGGAGCATTATTCAAAGTTTGTGATGATGATAAGGTACATGGACACATGTCCATTAAAGCTGTGGGGAGACGTTTGACTAAATGGCTTATATACCTGATAATGACAATGGGACTATCAGACTTGTTCCACAAGGTGGAATCTGAGAAGGTGGAGGAGCGTTATTCAAAGTTTGTGATGATGATAGGGTACATGGACCCATGTCCATTAAAGCTGTGGGGAGACGTTTGACTAAGTGGCTTTGCCATGATGATGATGGCACAGTTGCATTCTGCTGCACATTCCTTATCTCATGATTAATAAACGGGAAAATTCCAAATAAGGGCTTGAAATGCCCTCATTTTTTTCAAATAAGGACTTGAAGTGCCCTCATTTTCTCAAATAAGGGTCCGAAGTGGATTTTGTGTCAAATAAGAGCTTGAAGTGGCTATTTCAGTTTCAAATAAGGGCATAACTTTCTAAATGGTGAGGGCATTTACGTTTTTTAACTTTTTTGAATTCTTTTCCTTTTTCTTTCTTCTTTTTTATTTTTCTAGTTTTTCTTTGTGCTGCCGGCCATCGGCGAAGCCCGAGCAGGGCTAGGCGAGGGTGGCCTCACTGGCAACAGGTGAGGGTGAGCGAGGCCACCCTCGCCAGATTTGGGCGAGGGCCACCCTTGCCAGATTTGGGCGAGGGCCACCCTTGCCGACAACAGGCGGGGGTCACCTCGCTAGCTACCGGCGACGGACGGCCTCACCAGATCTCGGTGAGGCGACCCTTGCCCTGGGCGAGGCCACCCTCGAAAGCCACAAGCAAGGGCCGGCCTTGCTTGGGCAACGGGTGGCCGACAAGACCTTTGCCGAGGCGAGACTGGCCTCGCCCAGATCCGGCGAGGCCATCCCTCGTTGGCAGCTGGCGACGCCAGCCTCGCCCTGATATGGTAAGGGCCGGCCTCGCCCGTTGTCGGCGAGGGTGGCCCTCGCCAGATCGACCGAGGGCGACCCTCGCCTAGCCCTTCTCGGGCTTCACTGGTGGCCAGCCCGGCCACCGGCAATCGGTCACTAGCGAATTAAAGAGAAGATCAGAAAATGAAAAAAAGAAAAGAAAGGAAAAAAGAAAGAAAAGGAAAGAAAAAAAGAAAGGAAAGGAAAAAGGAAAAGAAAAAAATAAAATTATTTTTGGACGAAAATGCCCTTGACCTCACCAGTCGCCAGCCGGAATATTTTGCCGTCTAGTGACCGGCGAAGTCAAGCCCTTATTTGAAACTCTCAAATCACTTCAGGCCCTTATTTGAGACTGACATGCCACTTCATGTCCTTATTTGATACAAAATCCACTTCAAGCCCTTATTTGAGAAAATGATGGCACTTCATGCCCTTATTTGAAATTTTCCCTTAATAAACTGATCTAGAACACTTTGATGTTGAGCGGACACCAGAGCTGGTTGCACTAAGATATTCAAGTGTAAGATCAATCAATAATGAGACTTTCAAATCAAGCCACGGGTAAAGGCAAAACAACATACCGAACTTGATCACGAAAACCATCTACAATGAAAATCAACATGCACATAAAACATTTTGATGAAAGAAACTGCGCACCAAAAAGATAGTGATATCGGATATATATAATTTGCAATGATACTATTGTAATTTGGAAATGATGCGATACGGAAAGAAATGAATTTGAGTTATTCTAAAGAGATTTAATAATACAAAGAAGTATCACTTCTATAATGAAAGCATCAATGCTCACTCGAGTAAGGTATTTCTATACGTTGTGATGATCGACCGGCCATATTTACTCCACCCTCCAAAACTTGCGAATCAACATGTGTTGCCTCGAAATAGTGAGGGCCGCCGGTAGGTTGTAATGCAGTAAGAGGATATATGCCCATCGAATCTCATAGGGGAAACGAACCGGTTTCAGTTTCACATTCTTCATTGTAGCTTTGAAGTGGATTGTTAGAATGCGGGACAATGTTGGTTACAATTGTTACCCTGGATATACGCGGCTGACTGCAATCTAGAAAGCAATTTGAATTACCCACGTCTCGTAATTGATCATACCGCAATGATGATGCCCCTGCTGGTGTGCCTTTCCACATCCCTAATTATAAGCCATAATTTCATGCATTAGACTCTTCTGAAAACATTCTTGCTCCCCATAACAAAGCAACATGGGGTTTACAGAGAGACCAAGCGAATGATAAATTTTATATGGATTTTGTTAATAAGTGCCATCGCCACATTTGTTAAACACCAAATTAAGGAAAGTTGTAATTCCCAATGCACTGTATCTCTTGTATTATGGTAATCAATGCATTGAGAATAAAAATATGTCCTTATTTGCGTTTGTTTCGTAGAATTGATGACCCGACTTTGGAGAAGTGAAAACATTGAGCTTCTTGTGGCCTCGACCATGAATGGGACCTATTTCCTAAAAATAAGAACCAATTGTGGTCTCTAGCACAGTTTAAGTCACATGTCCGACAATGAATAAAGGAAATGTGAACTATTATTAGCTTTAAGGCTACCCAGTTGTGAATTGACTACGCACTTTGTATCCAATGATCGAAATTGATGACCCGATTTTGGATAAGTGAAAATATAGAGCTCCCTGTGGCCTCGACCATGAATGAAACCTATTTCCTAAAAATAAGACCCGATTGCAGTCTCTAGCATAATTTAATCAACGTTAGTTCTTTATTATCTCTCTCCTACAACTTATGATAATCTAAACATTAGAAGTTAGTCTCTGTTATAAATCATTTTGTGTGTCTGAGTACATCACAGAGTTGATTTCATGGTAAAGACCTCTTGTCCTATTCTCGGTCACTTTTAGAGTAAAATCTAAACCTGTGTGACATGGAGTGGATGTTGTGCTTGAAAATTTCCTCAAGTATATGTTTGAAAGTAGGTTCCCCTGACTGTCGCAAACTTTCTCATTCATTTGTTGTATGCTCTATGATATGGTGATCCATGGATGTTGATGATTGGAGTCAATATGTTAATTGCTTTGTTCTAGTGATGGTCAGAGGTGATCAACGGCGAGGTAAAATGTATATATGTTGGTCTCTGCTTAAGAATTTGTGTAGAGGATTGTGTATATCAAGTTCATACATGTTGATCTCGGGCCGATTATGAATGTTTTTATGCTGTTTGTTTTATCGTGAAACGTTCAGCTATATTGGATTTCAAGGAACATGTTTTGTAATTGAGAGGATACTATTTTGAATGGTTTGATAGATTTTGGATAGGTAATATTGTATATTTGTCGCTTGAATAGAAATGGATAAAAATTTGGCCGATAATTAGAAGAATAAAAGGGAAGTTCGAGTATACTGGAAATGAGACTGAAGGAGTCTTGTCGAAATGAATTGAATTTTGTCAATTTATGCTGGAATCTTGCTGGCATTTGTTAAAAAAATTGCTGGAATTGAACCGATTGCATGCTGACCGTGATTGTATTTCTCAGCCCAATGAAATTCTCGTTCTATTTTGTCTGTAGTTTGATGACACAAGTTCATATATGTAGGTGTGAAGACATTACATCAATTTCATGTCAATTCTTTACAAAACAATAGGAAGTTTTGATCTCGACTAATCTGTAATAATTCTGAATGTTGCTGCATGGCACTAATTGGATATGATTTTGGTAGATTCAAACTTGGTATTGCTCTAGCATGATGTAGTTGAGTTTGTCTAGCATGTTGATTGTTTGAGCTAACTGCTAGCTTATTCCATTCTCGACCGTGACCTTCTCTCACTTAAAAGACGAATTTCAGCAAAGAAAGGGGAGAAACAGTAAATTAATGCGTAGAGGACCAAAACAGTAAATTCAGCAACAAAGGGCTAAAGCCGAAATTTCACAAAAAGCTCGTACGGCTGAGTGTAGAACACACGCCCCATCATGCGCGCGGGCGCATTAACCTTCCCATCCATTGCCATTCCTCTTTTTGCCTCCTGCTAGTTAGTAAACTAATGCGAGATCACACACAAATGCATGCTATTCCAACACATTTGGAAGTCTTGAAGTGCATGTCGAACGCATCTTTTCAAAGCAATAGCTCATTCAAGAAAAGTCACAGCTTCTGATGACTATGGCAAAGAACAAGTCAAGGCTCATGGACTTGCTTGATCAAATGGACAAGATATCTGGTCGGATCTCAAAATTAGGGTTGTTGCCCAATTGCGGCAGGGACGAGGTTGAGGACGATCCTTTTACAGGGGAGGACTTACTAGAGCAATATAAGAAGGCCAGGCTCGACCTGATGGTCCTACTTGAATGGGTGAGTTTGATATTAGAAAGAAGACTCTATGGAAGCTCATGCTATGGAATTGGGAGGTAATGGTGTTGGTGTTGATATGTGGGAGGTTGATCTCTAGTTGGGGTGTCAAGATCATTGTGTTCTTTATTGAGAGGAACTTTGGTACGTGGAAGAGGGTTCTTTATTTAATTTATGGATTGAGGAAAGCAGTGCAAAATTGTCTATGGTTAGGGCTGGTCTTGCTAGCATGGCACTTCCTGTTTGATAAAAAGGTTAAGAGAGAGACCAGTAGCAAGAACTATCAGTTGGTGACCAAGATCTTAGTGAGGTTCTTGGTTGGCATAGTTATTTGGCTTGCAAAGACTTTTATAGTCAAGGTCTTGGCATCTTCCATCCACGTGAGCACCAACTTTTATAGGATTTAGTAGGCTCTATTCAATTAGTATGTGATTGAGACACTTTTACGCCTATCTGAGAAGCTACAAAAAAGGAGGGCTATGATACCTCCCGACCTTAATGCGGCTTAATTGCCAGCGAAAGATAGTGGGAGAGTGATAGGTAGCTGGAGAGTACAGAAGAGTCCTAGAGGAAAGGACAAGGGGAAGAGGGGATCACAATCGATCACTTGCATAAATTGAGCCCGAAGAATGTATTTGCCTAGAATGTGAAGCGGCTAATGAATTTGGTGCGGTATGGGAACCTCACGACACTGGATGAGCAGATATCAGGAATTTGTTCAATGTCTCACCATAAGTATTGAGCAAGATAGCTTTTTATCGTATAATATAAAATCTTAGAAGACGCCAGTTGTTACAAA